CTCATGTATATCAAGATGAATGGTTCTATTTGGGGAGGGAGTCAGGCTGCATTTTCTTTGCCTTAAAATCTTGAGCCTATAGGTCAACATCCCTCTGCTCCTTCCCTGCACAATGCTGCCAAGGGATGGACAGGCTTTCTCTCCCTGTTTGGACTCAGGACAGACCTGGAGCAGCTGTTTGGACACACCTTACTCATCGGACATTAGAACACCTGCCCATCAATCGTTCCTAAAACAGTCTTAGGAAATTGGGACACATTACACATGTGGAGACAGAAGATGAATTTCTTAAAGAAGATGTAACTTGGAGGCAGGAAAAGGAAGGTTTGTGTTGTCATAGTGGCCAGAGGAAAATCTTAGACCCAAAGGCCGAGGCATGCTGGGATGGGGCAGTGCTGAGGTCAGATCCTACTTCTGGGGCTTAAAGAGTTCAGGGCTGGGTGAGCTGCAGATAGTTCTGAAGACGCCTGTCGCTAACAGTGCTAATTTTCCATGACCTTTTCCAGCAGGCGCTGCTTCCCTACAGCGGGCTGGGCTTACAGATCTGCCTCACAAAGATGCTGCCAGGAATAGCTTACTACTTGCGGGGAAAAGGAACTTGCTTTGAAAAAAATGAAAGTGCTAAAATAAGAACAGCCTTGCTTCAGACCCCGCTTTTGTTAATCTCTCAAGTACATAGTCCTTTTCCGTATGTGAGAATTGGGCCAGGGCCTTACTTTGCCATCCAGGGAGGCACTGTCTGCACTTGGAGCTGATCTTCCTGGCCTGGTGAGGAGGTACCTGGGGTGACTCACTGAGATGGGGCTGCTGCTCGGAGCGGCCACTCATGCCTCCTAGGTAGCCTTCCTGGACCCTGGCCAGAATGCATTCTCTGCACTGGGGACCTGCTGAGAAAGGCCCTTCAGATCACCCCTCCCTGGTTCTTTCATTCACTGATGCACCCCACATCGCGTGAGCTTCAGCTGGGCTGGGCTGTGTACTGAGTACTGTCAACCAAATCCTGGTCCCTGCCCTGGGGGACCTTAGAGTTAGAAACCAAGTTTATCTTGAATTTCTCAAGATCAAGGACTGGTCCTTTAGCCCTTCTTGGACCCAGAGCCCTGCAGTGTGCCCACCCCTACTCGTGTGCGTGCACGACCACGCTCAGCGCTTCTCTCCGTCTGTGCCAGGAACTCCTCCAGTTACACGCCACTGTGTCCTCCGAGGGAGGGAATAAGTATTTATAGTTAAAGAGAGAAATATTTTCGTTTGTCCAGAGCGTGCCTGGAGCCAGATGGTGGGGAAGACCTTATGTGCCATGTCCAGGATTGGCGTTTCATCCTGAAGGAATGGGGAGGGAACGGAGGCCTGAAAGCAGGGAACAGAGGGTTAGCTACATCTTGGTAGAGGAAACGTGGAGAGCATATCGGGCTGGAAGTAGCGCCCCACGGAAGAGGCTGCTATAGAACAGGACAGCGTGAGGTCCTGTGGGAGGTGGTGGTTAAGAACTTTGGAGCCAGTCAGCCTCGGTTCAAGCTGACCATCACTTGCTAACTCTGAGACGTTGGGAAGATGCCGGGATTCTCTAAGAATCCGTTTCTTCATCCATAAAATGGAGTATAATAACATTAATATCTACTTTATAGGGTTTTTGAGAGAATTCACTAAGGTACTACATGGCTAGTGCTGGACACAATTTCTCACGTGGGAAGCATTTTGTAACTGTTATGGAGTAACAGCGATGGATATCTGACTTAGGGAATGACCGTGGGAATGGAGAAAGGTCAAATTTGAGAGCTTAGCCTTAACGACCAACCGAGTGTGGTCAGGGCCAGAGAGGAAATTACCAGAATTATGATTTCTCTTTGAGGCAGTAGGTTGGGGGTAGACTGGCGAAGAGCTGGGAGAGGAAGAACCAGCAAAGGGTAGAAGCAGAGGCGATGAGAGATGAGAGATGAGAGATGAGGTGTAGACATGCTTCACTTGAAGTACCTGTTAAACATGCAGATGAGGCTTGAGGGAGGCGAGGCCTTAAGTAGTTGGAACTAAGGGAGAGAATGACCCTTAGCTTGGATGCAGATGAATAAATACTGCAAGAGGCGGAGAAGTCTGCACTTGGTTACCTCGCATTCAAAGACTTTCTGCTTAGCCCGTGTAGACTCTAGCACCACAAGGGGATTCTAGTTTAGGACTGACTGCAAGATCCACGTCTTAGCTCTCCGGCTGTAACAAGGCAGATGATTCTGAGAATGTTTTCCTTCTCTGGGGAGGAGTTTGTGTCCATGCCATAGCAGGAGCTGAGAGCTGAGTGACCCCTGTTAATAATTGCAGGGGCCCAGCGGCTTGGTCTCTCATCTGAGCGAACAGAGCTGGGAAGGAGGTTATTCTTAGGAATCATCTGATGAACAAAACGCCAGCCTGACACTCTGATAAAACAACCCCCAGTGCTTCTAGCTGCACCTGCTCCTTTGCTGGTTTTATTTATCCGAGAAAGGCTAGGAAATGTGATTCCCCAAGTTCGCCTGAATAGGTAGCAGAGCCGACAGGCAGTGGAGTCAAGTACACAGCCCCGTGCTGGGAACCGTGCCCGTCCCTGGTTACCCAACCGTGGCCACTGCTAACTGAAGTCACTTCACCCCTCTTTCCCATTTGGGGTACCTGGAAAATTGGGAGGTGAATAGGACTGGAAGAAGAATCATGAGGTTAGAGTAGTGCAGTGGAATTTAAGGAGGAACTGTAAAGAATTTTCCTAATCCAGCTGTGTGAGTCGGGGAGAAGGGCATTAGCCCATCCGCACTGGGAGTGGGGGAGATGGGGGAGGGGAGGGCAGCAGTGGAGCCTGGGAGCTGGGGCTCTCAAGTGAGCTACCAGGTGGGAACTCTTTGCATCTGGATGGAGCTGGTCTACACAGTCTGGCTGTAGTCAGACCTACTGATGCTGGATGGTCATCAAGATGTGGGAACCTCAGAATTGCAGGCAAGGGATGGATGAGTATTTGAGAACTACCCTCTATAGGCCATGGTCACAGGGCTCTGCATGGTCCACTCTCTGCAGGGGACCCAGGAGGTGACAATGGTTAACAACCCAGTGAGTGAGAATTCTAGGCTCATTTTACAGGTAGGGATTGCCTGGGGCCTTACCACTACTCTACAGCCAGATAAGGTTCCAAGCCCTATCTTTTGACACCAGTACTATTTTGCTGGGCCATGCATGGCATTCAGGGCTCATTTAACCAGTTTCCCCTGCAGAGTCCTAGAAATTCCCACATGAATCGGCATTCACTTGCTCTTCCAGCTCTTCAGTTAGCCAATCGGCAGCCATTGAGCGCTTGGTAGATTCAAAGCACTTGAAGATTTCCTAAATCTCAAGTACTGTGTTGTGTTCGCTTCCCAGTTCCACAGAGAGCAGAGCCCTTTTCTCCTCAGGGATTAGAAGCTAGTTTCTCCCCGTGCATTCACAGAGGCCCTCCTGGAGGTCTGGAAACATCGGCCCAAATACCATATCTTGCCCTCGTCCAAGGTGTTTCTATAAACACCTCTCAATAGTGCATGGCTGAGCTGGAGAGTGGCTTTGCTTTGCAGAGTCACAGTGAACGTTGGCAGCAATAAAGGACAGAAGGCACCCACGCGTGAAACCAGGCTTTCCTGCGTGGCTCAAGTCCACCTGTAGTTCTCGGGTGAAATTGCCCCAAGCGACCGGAAGCTGATTGGCAGGCTCCTGGCTTCATTTCTGAACCTCTTTCTATTCATGTTTTTGCACTAACTTTCCTTTTTTTCTGCTTCTCATCATAATTCTGTATCTGCTTCTAACCTCACATTGAGCTAGAAACTCTTGACTCTCCTCCCGTTCACCTGAGGAAGTGATGTCCTCTTTGCTTGGCATTCCTAGATCTTACCATTGAGCCATAGAGGTCCTCTGCCTCCCAAATGCTCCCTGGTCTCTCATTCACTGAAATTTCCCTCCTTCTTGGACACTAAGCCTCAGGTTGTGTCTTTTCACCACTGAAACTTCTCATCTGCTTTCCCCCCTCCCTCCCGCCCCACCCCCACTTTAGATCATCCTTCAGAGCTTTTGAACTTAGTCTACGGCTTCTGATCTGAAATTCTCCATTTCTCTCAAAGCCTTCGTTCCCCTTCATCTCTGACCCCTTTGCTTGGTCACCGGCTGGAAGGGAAGTCACTTCCCCTGAAGCACACTTCCTGTCTTCACTGGCCTCATTTATCAGATAGGTGCTGAGTACCTACGGGCTTCACAGGCCCGGACAGCAGGCTAAGTCTGACGGGCATGGCAGGCATGGACACAGATCCCTGCAAAGGTACTATAACACATGTCTACAGGAGAACGCGGGGAGGCTGACAGCCAGGGAGGAAGTGACCAATGCACTGATTGGTCACAGGCGGCCAATTGAACTGGGTTTTGAAAAATGGAAGGAAGTTTCCAGGGAAAGAAATGAGGCAAAAGCATCCCAGAAACAAGGAGCAACAGGTGTGAAATCGTACCTGGGGCACGTGGTGCTCAGAGGTGCTGCAGGAAGTGAAGGAGGTAGGAGGGACTGGGTGATGGAGAGATCCCTAAATGCTTTGCCAACGATTCTGAAGGCCAAGGAGGAGGAGTGGAGGGTTTTAAGGAGAACCCTAACAGTCAGATGTAGAAAGTTCATCTGAACTAAAGAGGCACTGCCTGTGAGCAGCTGCAGCAGAGGACAGACAAGAGATTATTGCAATCGTACACACAAGACCAGAGGAGGGCATTTGAGAAGTGGGTGAGAAGGCGGGGAGGCGTAATAAGAATGCTGAGGTCACATTGCGTGACTTAGTGACTGGTTGGGTATTGGGAGCAATGGCAGGTTTCTGAACAAGGTGACCGGATGGCGACGGATGCCATTAACTTGAAGGAGAAAACTGGTGGGGGGTGGGAGGGCGGGTGAGGGGGGTGAGGGGGGTGAGGCAGGAGGGCATGCCCACGTGCTGTGAGACGTTCTGGGTTCCGATGCTGTATGGATGTTTCCCTCTGTGTTGCAGCCCTGGCGGGTGGTCTCCAGGTCACAGTGCCCGACAAGAAGCAGGTGGCCATGCTCTTCCAGCCCACGCTGCTCCGCTGCCACTTCTCCACGTCCTCCCGCCAGCCCGCCGTGGTGCAGTGGAAGTTCAAGTCCTACTGCCAGGATCGCATGGGGGAGTCCCTGGGCATGGCCTCTCCCCGGGCCCAGTCTCTCAGCAAGAGAAACCTGGAGTGGGACCCCTACCTGGACTGCTTGGACAGCAGGAGGACCGTTCGAGTGGTCGCTTCAAAACAGGGCTCGACCGTCACCCTGGGAGACTTCTACAGGGGCCGAGAGGTCACCATCGTCCACGGTAACAAGCCTCTGCTTTGAATTAGGATGGGAGGGACCTTAGTACCAGTCTTCCATGGCCCAGGGATGCTGGCCTCCCAGCCTCGCATCCTCTCAAGACTTTGATTTTCTGGGACATGGGAGCAGCAAGAACCCCATTGACTTGCTTTCATGGGCTCGTGGGGGGGAGCATGTGACAGCCGGAGCAGACGGAGCTGAGCTTGGAGAGCTGTCCTTCCTGACCTGCCCTCCATTTGGAGGGCCTTGCTGTCAGAACCGAAATTAAATAGGTTCTAGCAAAAGAACTGCCTCGGTCAGACACCTTGACACCAGTCTGCAGGGCCTTTCCCGAACTCAGGAAGCACACTCCCCCCCGGGAGAAGGGCTGCACGCCTGTGGGGTCCTGAGCCAGGTGGCTGCCATGGCCACGCCCCAGGTGCTTTTCTCTCACTGCCACCCTTGCTCCTGCTCCCTACAGCTTTGGACAAGAAAGGGCCCTAGGAGTCTGATTTGATCTAGTGGGTAATTTGCATTTTGAAGAACTGCTGTGAAGCCAGCTCCTTTGCAGTAGTCCAGGTAATTCTAGAACGTACCTGGCTCTCGGGTACTCTGCACCCGCTTGGTTGCTTGGTCTTCTGTTCCTGGCCCCGACCTGGAACAAGACCGATTCTGCTGGGGCTCCCGGACTCCAGCCTCAGGGATACTGGGTTTTTATTTTGTACTAGAGGCCCGGTGCATGAAATTTGTGCTGGGGGTGGGGGGGTCCCCTCAGCCCAGCCTGTGCCCTCTCCAATCTGGGACCCCTCAGGGGATGCCCGACTGCCAGTTTAGGATCGGGCCTAAACTGGCAGTCAGACATCCCTCTCATAATCCGGGAACGCTGGCTCCTAACTGCTCACCTGCCTGCCTGCCTGATCGCCCCTAACTGCCCCCCCTGCTGGCCTGGTCGCCCCCAACTGCCCCCCTGCCAGCCTGGTCACCCCATGCAGCCTGCTGTTCGATCATTCGTCTGGTTGTTTCGGTCGTGACGGCCCCTGGCTTTTTATATATTAGGATGTTTGTTTAGATAAGTCAAACATCTTGTCAACCACCATCCAGGTAAACAGGACATGCCCCAAGGGCCCCCTCATTCCCACATCGTTTATTGCTCTTCTCAGAGGCCAGGTGTAGGATTGGGTTCTTCTTTCTGTGATAACAGATGCAGATCTTCAAATTGGAAAACTCATGTGGGGAGACAGTGGACTCTATTACTGTATCATCACCACCCCCGATGACCTGGAGGGCAAAAACGAGGACTCGGTGGAGCTGCTGGTGTTGGGTGAGTGGAGACGTGAGCGTCTTAGCCGCTGGCTGGTTCCTCTTCTCGGTCCTTGCCCCTGCACACAGCCCATATCCTCTACACCCTCACAGAGCGCTTCGGGTGTCCAGTAGTTCTTCCATCTCGTTTCTTGGTGGCTATGGCCCGTTACTTAGCAGTTCCCTGAATGTTTCTTTTGCTCTGTTAGTTGTTTTTTTCTTTCCTTCCTTCCATTTGCATCGTTAACCCAGCTTTATCTGGCTCCATGCGTTACTTACCTTTTTATGCCTAACTGTGAAGGAACCGCCTGAGGCCCTGAAGAGGGTGGAGACCCAGGAGAGCTGGGAAATCACTGGTGAGTCAGGACCTCTTGAGAATCAGGAATCCTTCCCATTCATTAGCTCCACTTAGGACAGTTACGGGAGAGATGGCTGAGAACTGGAGAGCTTAATGCTGAACGGTGCCATTGCAAAGAGCGTCTGGGGAATGTGGCAGCGTTTAATTGGAAGGCAAATTTCTTGAAACCTAGAAGTGCCCGAGTTCTTCTCAAAGCAAATATATATCTAATCCTTATTAATAGCAATTTCTCCATAAATGCCAACTCATTACTTGGGGTTACTGTTCCTCTTTCGTGGACTGGAGGGATGTCAGTGGGGGTGACCTCCTATGAACTTAAAATTGAGCACATATTTCATGCTCTATAAGTGTTGGTTAAACAAGGACACTGGAATAAAACATAGGAATGAAAAAGAGAAACCACATGAATTGTAGGGGAAAAGAGAAATACTTAATGCCAGTTTTTAAAAGAAATTATGTTTTTTTGTAGCTTTCAAGAAACCATGTGTTAACAATTTAGGGGAATATTTAAGGTTTAAAGGCAAATGAGGCTATAGGCTAATTTTCACCCTCCCTGGGAAACTCAGTACCCAGGGCAAACTTGAATTGGCTACTTAGGATTTCGTTTCACTCAACCATGAGTGTGATTTTGGCAAATCAATGGTTCTGCTGCCTTAACTTTATGACTTTCAGAATGGATGAAGTAATAATTATTAAAAATCAACTCTTTATTGTGAATAACCAACCCTTATTGGAGGGTTGACGTAATTCAAGTGCATATACGTTGGGGCAGCGCATCATATAGACACACTGCCGTGGTCCGGAAAGGGATGGGAACAGATTAGAAAGGAAATAAAGGAGTGAACAGCTTCTGTGGATTTTGTAAAAGGACCCAGGGAAGTCAGATGGGGGGATCGGCTGTGTTTTGGTAACTCGGGAGGAAAAGATAAATTTCTGCATAATCACACCTCACTAGTGGCCAGGTTAGAAACAGGTGGCCCCGTGAGCCTGCAATTAGCTGACTGTGGACGGTTGTTTGGCCAGTGCCGCCATCGTAGGGAAGTGGTGGCCTGTGCAGGGGAAGCGGCCAGGCAGAAACCACTCTAAGTCGTCCGGCCCCAGTTCCACACGTGGGAAGGAGAGAGGCTGTGCTGTGTGTTTGAAGGGCATTCCTCTGGATCAGACCTGCAAAGTAACTTGGGCAGAGATGCTGTCCTCAGGACAAAAAGGTGGAGAAAGGAAGGCTCAGATGGAAAAGGTCATCAATGATGGGCAAAAGATGGAGAGCAGAAATCAGTGCTACGTAAAGCGAATCAGAAAGGAAAACTGGGGCCCTGGCCAGTTTGGCTCAGTGGATAGAGTGCCGGCCTGCAGACTGAAGGGTCCCGGGTTTGATTCCCATCAAGGGCCCATGCCCGGTTGTGGGCTCAATCCCCAGTAGGGGGTGTGCAGGAGGCAGCCAATCAATGATTCTCTCTCATCATTGATGATTCCATGTTTCTTTCTCTCCCTTCTTCTCTGAAATCAATAAAACGAGATACACACACACACACACACACACACACACACACACACACATATATATATATATATATATATATATATATATATATAAATAAACTGGGGAGGCCACAACCCAGCCCATCACAGCAGAGGTGGCATGTCTCTGAGATAGACACGTGCCAGGGCCCTCAGGGAGGAGACTCGCAATTCCACTATGTTCCACAGGAATCAGAAACATGCAGAGCCCAATGCATTTGCCATGTAAACTTTTTAGGCCAACTCTAGATGTGTAGTTATCTAACGGGGTTCCTTTGACATCTACAGGAATATTCTGGGTGCCAGAAAGGACTGTATTTACTTTCCAAATACAAAATTCTGAGTATTCGTGCCTTGAGTCCCTTTACAGCGTTTTTCAAAATGCTGTCAGTTCCTAGAAGCCCAGTTATTTGGTGGTTGTACCCTGCAGGCCCATCTGGTAGGTGTTCTTTACAGGTGCCACCAGGAGAGCATCCTGATTGGTGAGGTCGGCCTCGAGGAGCTGAAGGCCTCAGTGGGAAGGTGACAGGTCCACAGTCTGCTTATTTCAGTCCCATGAGCCACCGGCTTGGTCACTGAACTTGACCTGAAGAGGGGTTGGAGGACCTGGTCCAGGGGAAGAGGACGTGGAACAGGACCCTGGGACGTGTCTCCAGAAGGGACTGGAAGCTTGCACTGTGTGGCCAGATAAAATGAGAGCCAGGAGTGGACGTCACAGGGAGGGGAGTACATTTCGGTGCAGGGCAGGAGCTGTTGACAGCTGGAGACATGGAAAGACTCACCGTCATCTTCAGAGCAGTGACTCCCATGTCCTTAAGGGGTTGGAAACTTCCTTATGAGTTATATCAAGCTTTTATGCATAGGAAACGGTGCTAAGTTAGTTCTGAGCTTTGTTCAATTCTAAAATTCTCAAATCTCACATTAAAATGTAGATGAAGGTGAGTGATGCGACTACCTTGAGAAAATGACCTCCCCCGAAATTTGTGGCAGAGACAAAAGGGTTACGGGTTGGTTATAAGGACACAGGGTGATGCTCGTTCACAAAGAAGCCGGGGGGATGGAGGGTGGTCTTCTGCAGATAGACCAGGGCCAGCAGGGGTGATCCCACCAGAATGAGAAGACTCTAGACCAGTGATGGCGAACCTTTTGAGCTCGGCGTGTCAGCATTTTGAAAAACCCTAACTTAACTCTGGTGCCATGTCACATATAGAAATTTTTTTATATTTGCAACCATAGTAAAACAAAGACTTATATTTTTGATATTTATTGTATATATTTAAATGCCATTTAACAAAGAAAAATCAACCAAAAAATGAGTTGACAGAGGTGACACGCGTGTCATAGGTTTGCCATCACTGCTCTAGATGGTGATTGAAGGAGCTGAAATGTTAGGTCTTCTTGGAGTTGATCACAAAATGGGGAGCAGAAAACTGGTTGGAATTTCAGAGGACCTATCAGTAAAGATGGACAAATTAGAGGCAAAGATCAGAAGAATTTAGTTTTCTGTTTATACTCACAAAGGTGAACCTGGGAAGTGGATGGAGCAAGATTGTGAAGTGTCTTATACATAGGACTGAGACGTTTGAACTTCATCTTGAAGACCATGGGGAGCCAGTGAAGAAACCTTAGCAGAAGAATGAAACTAGATCTTAGGGTGGGAGTATTGATTAGCAGCAGGGTAGACAGTGCACTGGGGGCGACGTGCTGCGAGAGAGGGGTCAGTCAGGGGGCTGCTGGAGAGCACAGAGGGGTGGATTGACAAGAGACAGCGTAGAAACATTTCTGAGGAGGAAGTGATGGATCTTGGTGACCAGTGTATGAAAGGGAATGGGGACGGGAATGGGGAATGGGACTCGTAGCTCGCTGGATAACCAATTGCTCCACCAACTCAGAGAGAGGACATGGTGGAGAGCAGGTTGGGGGGCAGGAGAATGAGTTTGGTTCTCGATGTGTTGAATATGAGAGGCCTGTGGGGCACCCAGGTGGTGTCCCAATTAGAAATATAGGCCTGGAACTCAGTGGAGAAGCGAGGATGAGAGACAATAGATTAGAGAACCATGAGTGATAGAACCATGAAAGAATAGATGAGTCAGCCAGGAAGATTATATAAAGTGAAGAGGGCCAAGGACGGAACCCATCAGGCATATGTCCTACTTTCATTTCAGGAGAGTGGTAGCATGGCCACTGCCCACGGGTGTGTCTTGATTTCTCCACAAGCAGGGAGCTCCCCACAGCCTGGGCCTTGGGTCTGCAGCAACGCGGACCACCTCTCGTCTGTGTTTGCATCTGCACTGCCTGGCAGAGGGTCTGCAGTAAGGAAGCTTGAGGGCGTGTTTTTGTTTGTGTTTTTTCTCAAATGATAAATGGGAAGAATCTGTAGTTAATACTTACTTTGACCCCAGGCCTGGGTCACTTCTGCTGGTTTTATGTGCCCAGGGAGAGAGTTAGACTGTGTAGATGAACAGCCTGGTCCCTGCCCTGCCAGAGGTGCCCCAGGGTCTGTGTGGCAAGAACTGATAGGTAATGTGTTTAGGGTTCCAAGCCAGAAAAATCAATTCAGCTGCTATATTTTCTGCTCTTGCATTTCCCACTCAAGAATCAGTCTCAGGAGAGAGTCCAGTTGGCCCAGTTTGGACAGGTGTCCACGGCTTAGCCTCGGGCGACCAGGGACTCTTGGTGGCTCGCCTCTCAGGATTTGAAAGAGAACTGATTTCCCAAGTAAGCTGGAGCACGATTACAAAGAAGGAAGACAGGACATACGATGCCCCCGAAGCAATACGTGTCCACCAAAGTGATGCCATCACGACGTCTGTTATCACTATGAATGTGCACAGGCAATAGTGTGTAGCTCATAAATCTTCCCTGTGGTCACCTCGTAAGGCAGGGAAGCAGGCATGATTTTCCTCATCGCCCAAGCGAAGAATTTCATGTTCATTGTCCCGGTGCAGACAGTGTCGGCGATGCCGCCCAGGGTGTTGGCTCCTGGCCCCACTCTTCCCACACGGCTCGACTGTCCATATTCAGCGGCTGTAAAACGTGGCTGCTGCTTGAGGCCCAGGAAACGACTCTCACTTGTCCCGGGTTGGCGTTAGAGTTTCATTTTATTTCTTAGTAAAACTGCCCTTCACCACTGACCGAGGCCCTCA